GGAAATAGTGGTCAAGCATTGGAACAGGTTGCCCAGAGAGGTGGTGGAGTCACCATCCCTGGAAGTGTTCAAAAAACGGGTAGATGTGGCACTTCAGGACATGGTTTAGTCTAGTCTACCCTTGCTTGGCTTAGAGTAGACTTGGTAGTGTAGGTTAATGGTTGGACTGGATGATCGTAAAGGTCTTTTCCAACCTAAACGATTCTATGATTCTAGGTAACCAACAAGCGTCTTCACAGGGGTTCAACACACACTACAAGTGCTGTGACCTTCTCCAGCACACACAGCCCACAGCCACTGTCATTCAGATGACATTTAGTGCCGGTGGTTCCCCTCCTTGTAACACCGTACTCAAGCAGAGCATTTGCTAAGGTCAACTACTACATGCTAAGTCTAACTCACTTTCAAATCATTGGGATCCCCATCTCTACCTCCCCAGAGGGTGACTTAATCCCCAGAACAAAGAGCAGACATTTTTCTCCCAGCCTGCCGATGGACATCTCTATAGCGGAAAAAATATGATTCTTTGAGTGTGACCCATAGCTCTTGAAATTTTGAAAGAAAAGCCCCAGATTCTTCAGTCATTTCTGGTTTTGAACTGACAACTGTTTGGTGTAAATGCTAAATGGGAAGGCCTCATTTCCAGCTAAATTTCCAACCCCTGATGATGTCACCCTACTTGAAAGCGGCAGATGCATGTTTGGAGCCAAACCAAAAGTCTGTAAAATTCATAGTAATTGTCTCAAAATAGTCAATTTGTGCCTCAGTTTTGAGTGAGTTATACCATACCCAGCCTGCATGTTCTGAAATCTGAACAAAATGATCAAAGGTGCACAAGAAATACAAGGACACAGGAAAATAAAGACATCACAAAGTTGATTTTTTTTTTTTCTTAGAAATATATTTTGTAAGAAAACAATATTAACATTAAAAAGAAATGTTTATTATACAGTATAAAATAATTGCTTGAATTCAACTCAGTTCCTTATAAAAAAAAGCCTGAGGATTTTTATGAAGCCTCAATTCCCACAGATTTGAGTCTTTTGCCTTCTGTGATTCCTACCGCGTTAAAGAGCGGGTTTTCCCCACATCATCCTTAGAGCAGCCAGGCAAACACTCCTAAAACCCCCCTCATCCCTTCCCCAGCAAGCTGCTGTTCCCTGCCCAGATGGGCTCTAAACATCACCCATAGTATTTGCAGCTCTCTCCTATGTCCCCCATACCCACCCTCAGATTCCATCCACCTACCTCTTTCGGCCAAGCAACTATACAAGCGACAACACATGTTGCAGCTAGCTAGGAGTCTCCCCGTATTATTTTCTTGGCTAATATGACCAGTGGCCAGCCACTGACAAATAATGTATAATGGCTGAGTTGTTCCCAGCTGTCTGTTCTCATAAAACCTGTAAGAGTAGCTCTTAACACTGCCATTCACCTGCCAAATCTGGCAGAAGTGCGCAGTTTTAAAAGCTAGAAGGGGAGACAAGGACAGGCAATGCAATGACATAAGCTTCACTTTTTCAGGAAACTAAGCTAAAAAAGTCATTACTCGGTTGCAGAATTTACAACTTGCAGATTTTGTTGTAGGAAAATATGCCTGTTCAGTAACTATAAATACCCCTAATACATTTTTGTGGCTTATTATGTATTAATTTTTTTTTCTTTTTTTTTTTAGGTAATGCCAGCTTTGTAACATCAATTACCCTCCAGGTTTGAAAGGCACCCAGTGACCAGCATTCTGGTGTAATTATTCGTGACATTGGTGTGATTCCCCCCCTCCCAATAACACTGACAAGTTTAACAGAAATCTATTAAGTTAAAAAGAACAAAGATATATATTACATTTGCTAATTGCAAACAACCTCTTTTAGCTGCAATTTTTCCCATTGGGATTAAAAAGTGCACCAGTTTAACATGTCTGTACATTAAGAACAGTTTAAAACATTAAATATACAAACAGCAAGAGATTTTAAATATTTTGTATCAAATACTATAGGACAATATAATTTACATTTTTTTGTTTTTACACAAAACATTACACCTGAAATATAACTTTAGATATTACAGAATATAAAAATACATACTTTTTGTCTAAAAAATGTCTTTGCAGGTTTTGGCACAATGTAATACTTCAAAGGCACACCGTATTTTGGCAGTCTATATTTGCAATTAACTGTGCAACAATAATAAAAATGACCTGTAATTAACCTTTTGAACTGCAAGGCCAGATGATTTCCCTTCTTCCTGGAATAGCCCTTTTAATCAGGTAAAAACTTAAGTTGAACTGTTTAGGTGTTCTGCAACTCATTTCTGCCGCAGCCTGAGCTCTCCAACACTAATCCAGCAAAGCAAGAACAGGCTTAATTAAGCATGTGAAAAGCCACATCAAATGCAATGGGATTAGTCATACTTTCACAATCTTTGCCATCTCAGGGTCAGAACGCTCAACCCCAAGCAAAATTGAGCCCTAAATGCAAGTTGGGAGCCAAGTTCTGTCCTGCCCTGTGTTTACGCCAAAACTAGTTAAGAGTAGCACAGGTTAAAAAGTCAGGGCAGAACTTGGAAACAGAAGTTCAATAATATTAATTGCTCTGATTTCAACTACACCAATGTAAAAGTCATAATGACTCTACCAAAGCCAGTGGAGACATACAAAGTAAAACTGCTATAAGACTGAATCACGAGAACTATGTAATTTTGCCCTTCTGTGCATTTGTGGGACTCCCACTGGAGTCAGCACAGGGCAAAAACGTGTCTTTAGAGATAAATGGCTTATACAGATGCAATTGGGTTGCAAAAGATTTTCAGTTCTGTCTTCAAGTTGTTTCTGGATCACAAAAAACCCAAACAATTTTCCGCACTAAAAGATTCAGTCTAAATCCCTTACTTTAAAAGCCCCAAAGTAAGTTGCTTCTTGTGACGAATCCAGTAGCAATGGGTTTGATACCTGGATACTGATCATTTCACCAGATTTTAATTTGAAAAACCCTCCTACATTGACAGAATAAAAATGAAATTCCGAATTCCCTGACCAGTATTTGGTGCTTCCTCCCTTCATCAACACATCAGAGCGCCTTATTTTAAGGTTTGTCTTAGTCATATACACCATCAGCTGAAGCCCTCTTTTAGTCAGGTTTCCTGAAGTTTCATGATGTCTAAAACAAATGTTGGCATAAAGGTAGTAAAATCCATCTTGATTAACAATTAGCTTTCCATCATTGAATGTCATATTTGATAAGTTTGCCTGGCCTTTGTCATGATGCCAGGATGTGAGGTTCACTTTGCGAGTTCCTGAAGAGAAGGGAGAAAAAAAAATTATTTATAAACATTTAACAAAACTCAACATTTAGAAAGCAATCCCTGGGTTTTTAGAACCAATAGCAACTTCAGTTATATAAGCCAAAGTGAATATTAGACAATTACAATAAAAATTCCTAAGAAATTTCCTTTTTTCATCATATACTGCCATATTTGGCTGGCTATAACTGTCTGCCCTCCCACTAGAACAGCTGCTGGACCATGGTACAAAACATTTACTTGGCCAGTAGTTTGATTATGCTAAGCAATCGTGCAAGAAGCTCTGTCTAGAAATTGCATTCCACCTAAAATTCTATTCAAGTAACAAATACTTGAGAGGAATTTGAAAAGAAAAGTTCATAATGAAAAAACAGCAAATCTTGTTACCAGTCTTAAACCTATAAGTGTTTGCAAGGAATAACTAAACAAAATCTGAAAACAAGTTAAACTGGTAATTCCCCAAAGAGAAAGCTGATGAAACCTTCCATATTTTATGTTCTTGTGACTGTAGCGGTACAAAGGTAAACACATTTTCATTTAAGAACACCAAAAAGAATGGGGGAAAAAATCAGTACAATTGTGCATCTTTAGTACTACACAATAAATTGCCTAGACTTTAGATAGCACTTCAAGTATTTATGACATAACAAACCTTTTTATGCAAAAACAGTGTTTACACTTAACCCAGTGCTTGCATATACCAGAATAAGGCTCCACAATCCGGTTTAGTCATATCCTAGCTATCAAGGATAGTGGCACACAGCACAATCCTAATTCTTTGATAGTTGTACAAATACTTATAGCTGGGCAATTATAGGTATTAGGAAGGTAAACTCAGATTCTTTGTCTAATATCTCGTGGAAGGTCTTGGAAAAAAGCTTTAGGAAGACAGATGTGATTCTGCATGCATTGCTCTTTTTTTTTTTTTTCCTTTTCTTATTTTTATTTATTTTAAAGTACCTTAAGTTTCAAACTAGAAACAACGAGCTGATATTCCATGCTTGGAGGACAACAGTCCCCTTCAAGTTGTCTTAAGCTGGAGATCCACAAATTAGAAAAGAAAATTATAATATTCTCTCTGTCTCACCATAGAACATCATGCATGCGGGAATCAAAATACCTGTGTAACAGTTACCAAGTCTGACTACCAAAAAGGACAGATTAATATGTAAACAAGCATTATTGAATTCCTTCTAACAGGTACACGTAAGCCCTTCCAGCTCTGCCTGCATGATGGTGGCCTGGTAAACAGGAAGCTGTCCCTTATCTGTCAAGGTGACTGAACACTCTGTGAAAAGAACGAAAAGGAGCCAAGAGACTGGAGATGTTTTGATTAGTTTGTCAGCTCAGTACTGTCACTGAAAGCTAACTGAAAGCTAATGTACAGGTACAGATGTCCCCCAGAAACTCTAGCCTGAAAGGCACATCCTGGGTGCTATCATCAAATATCCACATTGTATCATCTCTTGGAGGTTTCAAGCTGGTCAAATCTCAGATGTCATTTCATGTAGATCCTGGACACTAGCAAAAGGTTCTTTGGACATTAGGAAAACATTCTTCATTGAGAGGGTGGTCAGTCATTGGAAAAGGCTCCCCAGGGAAGTGGTCATAGCACCAAGCCTGTCAGAGTTCAAGAAGTATCTGGATGACACTCTTAGTCACGTGGTTTAGTTTTAGGTAGTCCCGGTGAGGAGCTGGGAGTTGGACTCCATGACCCCTATGGGTCCTTTCTAACTCAAGATATTCTATGATTCTACTATTGAGGCTGTGCTAAGAGATGGCCTGGCAGGAGGTCAGATAGGCACTGAAAGAACATTTGAGTCTTCCTTCCATACCTGGTGATATTTGACACTTCAGTTTGGTTTTGGTGGCACAGTGTTAAGCAGCCTGCAACACAAGCCCAGATAGCATTGCTACTGCAGCACATGTTTATCACAGTATTTTCTGTTGAGGAGCATGCCCTGCAGCACATATCCCAGTCCCTTCCACCTCTCCAGCTTCACCACCATCCCATTATAGCACTCACCTCTCATCTCACAGCCTCTGCCTGCAAAAACAGAGGAATAGGCAACAGTGGGAGGAGAAGATACAGCCAAGGCCCACGGGCATGTCCACAGAGGAAACAGCACTGTCCTGAGAAAGCCACACAGGCCCTGACCCTTCCTGATACACACAAGCCACTAACACACTCTACCGTTTATTCAGTGTAATACGCAGGGCATAACACAACAGATGAGAGCTGGCCAACTTGTCCTCCTAACCACTAGCAATTTTCATCACACAAGACTAACTCCATTTTCTCCCTCTAAGGCACCCACAGCACTGGGTCCACACAGGCACCAGAATACCTTACACCTAAAGCTCCCAGTGCATCTAGATGCCTGCTTGGAATATTCAGTACCTTATTCTCCCAACATCGAACCAAACCAATCTGTTCCCACCAAAGTTTCCATGGCATTTGGCAGGGCCCAGTGCCCTCTCCTCCAAGCATGTATTGAGGCACACCCCAGAACCACCAGTGCTCACAAGCGTGCTGAGGAAAAGCCCCAGGTATATTTGATTTGTTAAAAAGATGCCTCCTGGATTTGTTTGTGCAGAAAGACATGAGGGGAAGTAGGGACAGGGGAATTTGAGAGCTACGAGTCCTTCCTAACTGCCAAAGGCAAGCAACTTCTGCATGTGAGAGGAATACTTTAATAGTAGTCTAGAACAAAAAGCTTCTGGCTTTCTTCCACAAAGACTTGAGCACAGCACAGCTGTCAAAGGCAAATCATAAACAGTTGCTCCCCTATCGCTCCAGTATAGCCAGGTAGAAATTATACAAGCAAAATCATACAGAGAAGCTGTCTTCTGTGCAGTGCCTCAAAAAAAACTTCTGAAAACCATCAATTACTTGGAAGCGACACTAAGATCTTAAGTCTCAGCCTGGAATTATTCACCTGCAAGAGATGCTGAGATAGGGGTACCAGGTACATGTCTGAAGCACTGGGGATAGCTGAGGAAGTTGTAGAACTTCTTGTGTTAAGTCTGCCAGAAATACTGCCCCAAGGAGGTTGGGCTACCTTCAAGATGAGGAAAATAAGCAAGAAATCCCTGCTTGGATCAGAGGAGAGGCACATCAGAGATATGGGACAGGAATGTATAACATATGATGGAACAGAAAGGCATGCTGGCACATGGTGAGTGACTGGTGGCACACTGGGTAGCTGCTAGGAAGATTTTATTTACCTGGCAAGTAAACTTTTTAGTTGCCAGTCTTAATCAAGTAGCAATTTTGAAAAAATCTTTGGTGGGAAAGCATGATTCTCTGCTGAAGAAGGGGGAAGAGAGAAAATAGGTGCCACAGTCATATGTAATTGAGATGCTGAGAGGGGCTCTGGGTGAAGTTTGTCCACAGTTTTGGTCTTGAGGGGAATACACATCATTCATCCATGGTCAGGCAGAGGGACAGGCCAAGAGATGATGGAAGATGACCCTTATCTGTTTTGGGCAGGGGATTAGCCTAGACAACTTCTGGAAGTCCCTTCCAACCTAAATTATAACACTATGATTGTATTATCCGCCCAAAAGAGGCAGATGGGCATTTTGCCACAATTCAGAGCTTCAGAAGAGGCATGCCACAGCCAGCAGCACAGCACAAAGATGCATTAGTAGGAGTTATGCCATGCAATCTTTAATGGAAGGAGTGAGCAGGCTCTCAGCACTTCTGGTGGTAATACACCCAAATTTGGAGACACTAAAACAATCAGTACCCCAAAACACAGGTAGGGGAGAAAACTAGAGCATACAAGTGCCAAATCAGCTGTCCATACATCGGAAACTCTGAAACATAACGCAAGCCATCGGACAGTCAGAAATGCTGCAATACAGTATCTTCTGTGGTAAGATTTACTATGGAGCCATGGAAAAAATAGTACAAGGGAAGTCATGTTGACAGAGAAGGAAGAGGTCAGGGAGGTAATGAGTAAGATAACCTTCCAGACACGGTAAAAAGCATTAAAAAAGTCAAGATAATACACAGTTTTTCTGGTAACTGAAGACAAATCAAAACAACGTCTTGGATACTTGTGAGCATGAACTAAAACTAATAGAAATGAGCTTTAATAAAATTTATTAGTAAGAAGGAAGATGATGGGAGGGGAACAGAGGAGAAAGTAGCCCTGTACTGATAATTTGTTTGCAACCTAGCAGCTTTCAGGTATAAATAAAGCCTGAGAGAAGGACCAAAGCACTGTGTACTCTGAAAAACAGTTTTGGAGGCAAAGGGCAGCTAAACTGAAGCTGTAGCTGTAAATAGCTCAGGATACTACAGCATTTCCTTAGACAGCTAAAGATATCAATTCACATCCCAAACAATATATTTAACATTTACATTTATTTCTGTTTGTGATTTTCTCCTTTAAACTGCGACTGATTTCTGTAATCAATTTATAAACCAAAATTCACTGTTTTCATTTAAAACCTAGGCAGCATTTATAGTGAGCTCTGGTAAAAAGCAACCAGCAAGCATCCAGCTTTAACCTAAGGCAGCAAACCTAAAAAATATACACAGCAAGCCAAACCACTATGGCTTCTGCAGCCAAATGATGGGTCAGGACACAAAGACCTGGGGAGGGTTATTTTCGCCCTCCCTTGCACTCTCCCCAGCTGCCAAAGTCCATTTGGGGCTTGGTATTATTGTGAACCAGGTAAAAGGAAAATGTTCCCTCACAGACAACTGCTCAGTGCCTCTTCATGAAGGGTGTTCAGTGGCAAACTACTTAGAATCGTATTTGACAGTGATGGAGACTGAATTTTTTTTTTTTTTCTTGACATTGTTTATTTTGGGTCAGAGTGATGACAGTAGAGAACCTTAAAATACTAACAGATCTGTCCAGACTGAGGGATGGCATAAAACAATTTAGAAAGATTTCAGACATGTAGGGTAAGGAATCAGGGGAACAAAATAGAAATTGCCATTTGCAGTCAGAGGAAACAGGATGGAAGACAAAACTCCTGTAACCCTCGGGTAAATTCTTCATCCTTTATGCCTGTCATTAACCTCTATGCCACCCAGCGTACTGCCTCATACCAGTGAGCATGATACTAAAGTGCCTCACAACCAGTAGGTTCAGGGTTCCAGCTATCCATAAGGATGCAGCCCCTCACTGCTGCAATGCCCACAAGGACTGCAGAAGCTGTGCTCATGATTAACACCCTGGCAATACTCTTCCAAGAGGCAGAAGCCATATGTACCAGATCAAGAGGGAGTATGTCCAGCTCATCACATTGGTAAGGGATTGATCTGCTCCAAGGAGAAACAAAGCAGCTTACTGTTACAGGCACTGTATTTCTGAGAGTTCCTGCAGCCTGTGCTATTTAAAAAAAAAAAAAGTGAAGAGAGCAAGCAAGAGCAATGCCTCCTTGCCATTACCCACAGATGTGCTATGTCGCTCCCTAGAAGGTTAATGCAGTGATGCACAACAGTAAAAATTATCAGCTGCTAGCCCTGATAAAAATACAGTCAGTTTACAGCAACATCCAGGTAGACAGCAAACAAATTCCCCACACCAAAAGGAGGATTTCACAAGGTGTGACACTGACACACTCCAGTTCTGTAGATACAAGTGATGTCTCTATGATTAGCAAATTAATCCTTCCAAAGACAAAATGCTAAGACCAATTTACTGATACTGCATCTTCTACTATTGACCTATGTCAAAGGCCAAAATCTGACTGAAATAGAAGCTTCTCAGGAGGCATTTGAGCTAATAAGAAAGCTTGTAGATGTTCTGACTGCCATGTGACAAGCTGCTTAAGCTCTCTGCTTATAAAGCTCTGGATCTGGATTGGCAATGCCAATGCACTTGAAGGGAGAAAGAATCCTCTCCCTCCAGGCAAGAAGCTAACCTGTTGTGTACAGAAATGCTTTGTCTTTAAATAGAGTAAGAGCAAAGTATTACTACACAGGCTGCTGAAATCTCAGATTTCAAGCCTCAACACAGCATTCCCCTTTGGTTTTGTTACATAAAACAGAAAAGCAATGCACATAGCTTAATTAACAAGGAGTTCAGCACTCCTTCTTCTTCAGAGGAAGAAGACAGTGGTGACCAGTACCCCCTCTTATCTTGAGATCCTCTGTCTGATAGCTTTACAATAAATTCTGGTTTACTTCTACCACACCAATGGTGATTGTTGTGTTGAGAATACAGAGAAAAATCTCAGCTGACAGTGTCACAGGGCAAAAAAGGAAACAGTTACTAAGATATCTTAGAACTGTAGGAATGAATCTTTTCCTCTGCAGAGTGTTCCAAGGCAGACTCATGTCTTGTTCCTTCATATTGTACTAGCAAGGATATTCCCAAAGCCATCCACAGACACTCATGGGTAGAGAGTAAGAGGTCTAGCAAGACAAAAGATTGCGATCCTCTTACCATAGGAGCAGATAAAAGCCACAGGAACTTTTTTTCCCCCTACTCAATAGCTCAGAAACATACTGCACCCAAGTCAACACACTGACCAGAAACCCTGTTGCTCAGAGTACAATGCTATGATCTTTGATCTTCCTACTACTGGACTAGATGGATGCAGACAGACCCTTGTGAAGCTTTGGCATGTCTGAATGTCAGGAAGGCCCTGGGAGTCTTGATGTAAAAAAGTCTATACCAGCCCTGCAACATAATAATGAATGGAATATGACAAAACCTTTTCAACTGCCATTTGCAGAAGGAAACATGTGCTATAAATTCAGCCCTATGCTATGAGAGTGCAATGTACCCACAGAGGGCAGGGAACTAGCAGGCAAGTTATAATAATGACATTGGGACTGCAGCTCTAGGTTCTCAACATCTCAGAATGAAAGGTGTGCTTCCTTTATGGCAAGTCCTTACACTGATGGGCACCTGACATGCGTGTGTGTTGTGTATTCATACAAGATTCTCAGCTTCCAGATCCACCCTGAAGACAAATGCTGTGTCACCCAGTATAGACTCAACTACACTTCAGCACACAAAAGGAGTGTTGCTGTGGAGGGTTGAATAGGTGGACATAAGACATTCTTGACTTTTACAAGAGAAAACACCACATTTCTTCATCTGACAACAGGACAAAAAAAAAAATCTTAAGACTCAATGGAAGGGAAACATCTTCCAACCTGCAAGATCTGGATTCTGGCCAATCTTTGTGCTAGCATATCCTTGCATATATATGTATATGTATGCACGCATGTGTGTGTATGTGTATCTATAGCTTATTGCCAGTGTGAGCAAAGAACTCCAGATGGGCCCTACTAGCCAAAGCAAATAAGAAACTTCAGAGGAGAGCATTCAATGCATATCTTCATTCCTCACCTGAAAACAGCACAAAGAGGCAGGCCAAGCCGTCAGAGCTTGATCATGAAAACCGGTCATTTGAAATGGAGGCCATTCAGCACACAAGAGACTGATATAAGATACCTGAGGCAAAGGGGAGCTATCCTCCTGTTAACATTACCCCTGCTGCCCCTGAAATCCTTTAACACATCCAATTTATTCCCATTATCAAAAGCCATTTCTGAAATCCCAATCTGTTGCTGGTATTGCTGAACTATTTTCATATACTTCACTGTAATACATTTATAGTAGCATTGGAAGTATTCACTTAAAATTGAACTTACCAGATGGAATATTCTTATCATCAATAATGAGATGGGCAAAAGGCTGCTTCTCAGGTTTGTTTCTCTTGTACAGATCCATTCCTAGTGCCTCCATTGCAGCTAGAGATAAAAGAATTGCATCACCTCAGAAAGACAAGTTTAGTAGAACTAAAATATCACTTATTCATAAACCAGCACCTACCTTTTTCTGGTCTTGGTGGTGTTCTTCCCATGACACGCTGGACTTCCTAAAATGAGAAAGAGCCATTGCTTTGATGTTGTCTTGGTTTTGTAATATTGTGTATTACAGGTAGTTTGCAGAATTACAACACTCTGTGTGTGTGTGTATATATACACACAGAGCTGAATATGAGCCAGCAGTATGCCCAAGTGGCCAAGAAGGCCAACAGCATCCTGGCTAGTATCAGGAACAGTGTGGCCAGCAGGAGCAGGAAAGGGATTGTCCCCCTGTATTTGGCACTGCTGAGGCCGCACCTCAATTACTGTGTTCAGTTTTGGGCCCCTCACTACAAGACAGACACTGAGGTGCTGGAGCGTGTCCAGAGAAGGGCAGTGAAGCTGGTGAAGGGCCTAGAGCACAAGTCTCATGAGAAGCTGCCAAGGAAACTGGGGTTGTTTAGACTGGAGAAAAAGAGGATCGGGGAGACCTTATTGCTCTTTACAACTATCTGAAAGGAGACTGCAGCAAGGTGGGTGTCAGTCTCTTTTCTCAAGTAAAAAGTGATAGGACAAGAGGAAACCGCCTCAAGTGCGCCAGGGGAGGTTTAGATGGGATATTAGGAAAAATTTCTTCACAGAAAGGGTTGTCAAGCACTGGAACATGCTGTCCAGGGGAGTGGTTGAGTGCCCATCCCTGGAGGTATTTAAAAGATGTGTAGATGTGGTGCTTAGGGACATGGTTTAGTGGTGGACTTGGTAGCATTAGGTTAAAAGTTGGCTGTGATGATCTTAAAGGTCTTTTCCAACCTAAACAATTCTATGATGCTGTGATATGTGGGGGTTGTTCTACATACAGAATATTCAGATGCCTGGGATACATATTCTCATATTTACATGGTGTATAATATGAACACACAGTTTAGCTGCCACAATCAAATTACTTCCTCTGTCCAATACATCTGATAAAGGCGGACAGGAATGATGGTGTGTATGATCACTGCACTATCTATTGAAGTAGTGGTGACAGACATTGACAACCTTTCCTACTTATTGCACTTGGAATATTTCTCTAAGTATAATGGAACAATGACTGCTAAGAATGCATCACACAAAACAATGGAGTTTATGAGCTGATTTTATTACTTGGGGTCAAAAGGTAACAAAAGAGGTAGTTCTAATAGGGACTAGTGTGTAGTCACACTAACAACTAAGGAAAGCTAAGCTCTGAATTTCATTTGTGATGAGGTAAATTAAAACCTCCACCCCTCACAATCCAGGGCATTAACAGGGCAGGTTGCAAGACTACAAGGCTTTATAATCAAGGCTCACTTCTAACAAGGTATGCAAGAACTGAAGGATTAAGCATCTTCCATATCTGTAATGAGCCAAAGGGACTGGGTGCCAAGAGTTTGGAAGCATGCATTCTTCAAAACTGCAGATGAATTACCATGAACGAAACCCATGTTACCCAAAACCAAGAACAGCACAAGTAACAGACATCAGGCACCACAAAGCACCTTGTTTTTAATAATCCACACCTGTTTTCCTCATAAGAAAACATACAAACAGCAGTTTTCAAAAAATCTAATCAGCCTTGTTCTTGTTACAAGCCTGGACTGAGTCTCGGTAATATTCGGTTCAATCCTCAGTTCTGTCCCCTGTTCCCCCATAACTCTCTTCATCTCTGTTTTCTAAAAAAAACTGGGTAACATTCTATTTGCTATTCAGAATACCTCATACCATGGAGTCATCAAGATGATGTTTAGTAAAAGGAAACATCTCGCTGAAGACAGCAAATCATATCTCATACTTAAAACCTAAGAGTGGTCCTTTGTTTTGTCTTTGTCACACATATTGCTGTTCATCTGATTCAATACACCTCAGATTTGGCCAGATCAGCAAGTTCCACTGCGCTTTCAATCACTGCGGTGTTTCAGAATTTGAAATCCTGCTTTGAAAACACCTAATGGCCTGCTTTTATGTAATTTTGCAGCCACAGTGAAATCTGTAGTGCCTTAGCCAGTGCATTTATTACTCTCACTTTCCCCTTTCAGTAGGTGTTTAAATGTTAAACCAAGATGAAAAGCCACAGCAGTATGGAAGTTGTAGTATGACTATCAAAGCATAATACTTCAGCAGAGATATGCTGATTTTGTAGATAAGAATCATTAAGATGTTTTCTGCTGTAGAGACGAGAAGAAAAGCAGAAGAATTGCAACTTCAAAAGAAGCAAAACTCATGTCCACCTCCCCCATTTACATTCACTTCCCCTCTCTGATCTTCCTACTTCAATGTCAGTTCTAAGAGCATGAAAATGAAGCTCAGTTCTAGGAGCTGCACACCAGCATCAGCCTCTAGCCACACTTGAGCTCTTCAACTTCATCAGAAGTAGGAAGACAACAAAAAAAATATTGCAAGTACTAGATACTGCAAAAAGTGGCAAAAGCCTCTGAAGAGAAGAGGACTTAAGGTAAAAGAGACTAGGACACACTCTTAAGAGATTACTGCACCACACCTACTCCCAACCCTTTCCCTAGAAAGGGGAGACTCCTTCGGTTTCTTGCTTTCTTAATGGAAACTTCTCAGATCTTCTCGGATGTGGAGTCTGCTTTCATATCCTTTCCTTCTGGGAAATGTGATGATGTCCTTGCCTGGAGAGCCTACTGGGCAGGTCCAAAAAGAGCTATGTACATTTTAATCTCCTATTATCTAAACTGGTACTAAAAAAAATTCTGCGGTTGGTAACTGCACAGCCCTTGAAGTCCCTGAACTGGCCAATTGCTATCCTCCTCTTAACCTACATTTTTCTTAGGAGTATAGAGTTCTGCTTCTGCACATTTCCAAAGATGCTCTAGCTTGAGCAGCTCGGTACCTCACCTTCTGAGGTCTAGCAGCCTGACTCAGCTCATCTTCCATGCGGAAAGGCTGTGGTCCTCATGAAATGCAGTCTCAGCTGCTTTCTTTCTAACTGTTGGTGGTGCTGTTCATCTGCAACATCACCACTTGGTAAGCAGAACAGCTACCCAGGAAGACTTGGGTCCACAACTCTCCTTGTCCTGATGTCTTGAGCCTACTTTCCTGTTGCCTAGGAGCATTCCTCTCTGACAGGAACACTCTCCTGTACTCCTCTTGAAGTTATGCTACTATGCAATTAGGAATGCAAGGTGTCATTACAACAAAAGGGAGATTATAAGCATGAGCCCAACACTAACACACTGACAAAACCTGGCAACTGGCTCATGTCCATTGACTCTTCTGTGTGCTTGTCATTGGATTAGAAGTGGCTAGCCTGTGGCCAGAAAACAGAAATCCTCCATCAGCCAAGTTCTCCAAACACTGGATTAGTGACAAGTTCTTTACTTGATTCTGACCAGCCCCACAAACTTGATACACCTTTCTGTTCTGTTGCCCAGACTTCCAAAAGGAAACTGCAATACATGAATTAGTCCCTAGATAACAGAGATGGAGCTGTGGGTTTCCTCACGAAAAATAAGTAGTTCAACACTTCTCTTGATTTTTTACTTCATGTTTTTACAGTTCCAAGGTGCTGATACACAACCTACCTTGTAAAAGCATTTTAGCATGTACTTGCTTCTGACCCTGAAGGACTCAAGGACCACATTTTTCAGTGGATGTCTGAAGATATCCAGTTGTCTAAAACAGGGCATCTTAGTGGGATTATAAAACTCCACTGGTATCCTCACTGCAAGGAATTAAGAGCTAGGATTTTTGAAATCCTTAAAGTATCAACTGCATTTTTTAGCACCTGTACATCTTTAAGCATCTCATACCTAATCACAATGTACGCTACCATTAAGAAAGTAGAAACAGCTCAACAGAACCTGTCACTAAGACACTGCTATAACGGCACAAGAACCGTTGACAAAATATTACCAGTGACTTCTTTTAAGACTGCCACTCACAGAACCATGTGCACTACCAAGCTGTTATTTTTAGAAAAACTGTACACAAAAATCACACCACTCTTAGTCTTATGGTAAGCTGCACCTGTACACCTTTGCATCATTTGCTCACTGTCCATCAACAGTAGTTGGCCTGCATCCCACCTTCCAACCTCTTTCATACAGACACTACTTAAACAACAGACAAGCAGCCAGTCACAAAACTGAAAAATGTGTCTTCCTTCATCCAAAGAATTTAAGAGGCCATTGGGAAACTGCGAAACATTCACATTTTAAAAGCTAAAATCATGCTTTAAGTGCCTGGAAAATTGGGAACTGCTCTTTCCTCATCCACAGCAGGCTGCAGGTTTTAACCCTTAGCATCTCAGCATCTTCAAAACAAAAACAACTTTTGCTCTTCAAGTTATGTCCAATGTTGAGGATGCAGAGACAAGGCTACATTTGAACACGTGACATTTGTGAATGGTTTTTCCTCTCCTTTGGCTTTTACAATATCTCAGTACCCACTCTAAGCAGCTATACGTAGCCTTTTGAGACCAATCAGAAGAGAACCCCTCTGGACATTGATGTATTGCTTCAGCTGTGATCTTAACGCTCCTTTATGCAGTTGTGTCTTCTACTACCAGAGTGCTTTAAGTCCAGCTAATACCAGGAAGAAGTATCTGATTATGTTGCCGGAAATTTAGCAATTTGAAGAATGCTGATCACAAAGGAAGTGAAATAGAAAGTACATGAACCAATATTCATCAGAAGATAGTTTAGAGAACAGCCCTACAACCTCTACCCAAATGAGTAGTCTATTGCCTGCAGAAAAAAAAAAAGGCATGTAAGGTTGTAGAATGGAAACTGAATTTTTAACAACTTACAGCAATCACTCGTGAAACCTTGACTTCGTCCGTGACTACATGCACTTTAAATATCTGATAACTATATAGAGCTCTTTATAAGTGCTGCCCTGGAGGTCTAGCAAAGTACTCTGTTGCCAAGTGGGAGACTAGTTTATGCCTTATCTCCCCAAGCTGCTAGAAGCTGGGAATATTGCCAAAAAAAGTTACTTATGAATTGACCCAATATATGTTTGTAGTCCTTTCTGCTTCAGGCTCATAACAGACTTCGTAAGGACTGTGGTTAGTGCATCTGGACAGCCAAAAGGTTTTTAGGGTTACATGCAAAAAAATTAAGCAGACAGGCTAGCAAAGTGTATTATTTGTCTGCTTGAAAGTTTATATACAATATCAAAAATGTGCTTTCTACTGAGTAAGCTGCTCCCTAAGCAGTATTTTTATCCTGGAATATGCTAAGGAATTCCCATTAGATTTTGATTAAAAGAAAATCTTTAATTATTATTTTTTCAGGAGACAAATGTTTCTAGTCCCAACTGTGCAGCCCTACTACACTGGTTTTCATAAGAGTACTTTCATTTTCAACTTCAATCCCTGCTTTAGATTTAAGCACTAGGTCTACAGGTGTGCAAAGGAACAGATGAGAACCAGTGCAGTAAGATAAAAGCTGTAACCAGACCATAAACCTGAGCAAAAGCAAGTTGTCTATTTTCATTTCCTGAACAGCTTGAATTGCAAAAGACAACATACTGAAAAATCACAAAACTTAAACGGTATTTTAAAGTGTTCCATTTCAGTCACTTAACATGCTGCCAGTTCAAATAAGGACAGTGGTTCTTAAAACACAGACAGACTAGACTCTCCTTCAGGAAAATGAAGAAAGCACAGATGATAGGAAACTTCATTCAAGTCACACTATCTGCATTCCCACACATAAAGGACTAGCACAACTGGAAGTAAGATTCAGCTGCATCTCTGCCCTTCATTGTAGCAGAGCCAATGAAAGGCAGAGCTTACAGAACATGGTGAAGTACAATCTTGCCTTAACGCTGTTTGTTTCACTTCTCTGATACACTGAAAAGATGCAAATGTAGCCCCAGGCAAGCATTTTCCTATTTTTCTCTGTGTCATCAATATATGATGACAAAGCATCCAGAACACTGACCCAGCTACTTAATACATTCTGTTGCATTCAAGGGAAATTTAGAAACTGATTACTTTGGCAAGGGAAATTTTATTGTTCTCAAACTAATGGTCATCAACCAAAAAAGTTATCCCTACTCACTACTTATCTTGGCCATGGACATTGCAGCATTTAACCTCCATCCAGAATGGCAGGATATGCAGCCTCAACTAAAGCCAATGCCTTTGTTGAGTAACCAGCAGCAAATGACAAGAATACAGGGCTTCCCATTCACTTACTGTAACAAGCTCCGTGCTCTGTCATGGGAGCTGCATGAACAAGCAGTGTAGTACCAGCACACAGAACACAGAAGTAGGTGTAGTGTGAGACAGTCTATAAAATGCTGGAAGACAGAACTAATCCTACAGAGTTAACCTTTTCTTTTCCTTAAGGTTTTCAAGGAGGTGGCTAGCAAATGGGACAAGACATGAACTCCTAGGTTTCTTAAGTTTTGTTCACAAAAAGATCTGTCACTTGGGGTACTCTGTTAAAAGCAAGCATTAGCAGAATTAAAATACCATATAATTAACTCAAGTACAATTCACTCTGTAAAGTGTACATGAGTTCAGCTCAAATCTAATGTAGTATTATGAAAAGTTGAGTCTTATGCAGATGTGAAACAGTAGTAACAGACCTGGTAAGCCAGGAAAACCAAATACCATAGCAGACATTCAGCTTTTAAACAACTCATAATTAGCACTAAACACTATCATGAACATGCAAAGAGATCAAAGGCAGTAACTGCAGTATGAGGTGATTGTGACATATATCCAGCTTGCCTAGGCTTTTTCATTAAGGCTGACTTCTTAAGCTGACTATTTGTTATTTGTGTTTGGGAACAAGCTGCTACTCTCAACTGCTGGGCAAAGACTGCCTGGTTATCATGCTATGGCACAGTAGCTCTTCTGCCAGTGTGGGAACTGTCTGCACAGAACAGAGAACTGGCGAAGTGAGCAAAAAAGAAAAAGCAGACTCTATTCCTCATTTTGGATTGCAGAAAGAGTAAGAAACAGGAGCAAAAATGTTTTCTCCTCTGACTTTTAGGCAGTATTTTGCTTGTTGATGATGTTGACTTAGGAAAATCTTGTCAGAAACAGAGTCAGGAAGACTGCTTTAAAAAGACATGGAACTGTCCTTTCTTATGTCAGCAAACCTATACAAATATTAGGATAAATGACTGCCATTCAGGCCCATCCAAATGTCAGAATGGCCAATCAATTAACTAACTGCAATCAGTTTTCTCAGTGCAACTTCAAGTCTTCCTTTCTTTAAAAAAAAAAAAAAAAAAAGATGTGTTTGAATACAGAATTGGTTAACTACCAGGTTCATGAGGAAAGAGAATATGATCTTGGATGCAACTTCAGGTATTATTCGAACACCAGAAAATACTTTCTAGAACTTACCTGCGACTACAGATATTCGAAAAATTGTTGTATTCAACAGGAGCAGGAAATAAAGGAACACACAGTCTCCCTGCCACTCACCTTCTGCACAGCTCTTTGGAGAGCCTGTTTCATGCTTCTACATGATTCTGGCATTAACTTCGCTTCTTGATTTTCAAAGGATGTATCATGCAAATCTGTATTTTCTTGATGTCCAAAAAGTGTTCTGACACAGTGTGCATGTTCTTTTGAAATTCTAGTAGGGTCCATCTGAAACAAAAATATAAGCACAACCACAGTTTTAAGTGTCTGTCCAAGAGACATTAAGAGCATTTAAGTCAGGGAGAATTTTCAACCATCTAAAAGTCTGGCACCTAGCTAAGTTTATTATCTAAATTTTCATTGTAAACAATTAAAAGAGAAAGTTCCCCACATGGAGGTTTATTTCATCCAACAGGCGTGAGAGATAGGAGAATGAATCATCTTCTGGACCTGCCTAGTTCTTTAGCTTAGACTGGATGTCTGACTTTCAAAAGCTAAAGATAAATCCCACTCCTACAGTAAAATCAATAATCCTGAATTTCATTTTTTGATCACTCAGTGCAATATCACAATTATTTTAGCAGGCAACATACACAGCCATCCTATCTGTAAAAAATACCGTTTGCAAGATGACATAAATGGCAAGTAGAGGAACTTGGAGGAAGTATGTACAACATCTTGCACATCATTTTCAAAAGGAGAAACGGAAGAACAGGAGCCAGTTATCACTGAAACTATTTTGTGGGTAAGAGATATTGCTGCATGAAACAGTCACTGAGGAAGACAACACAAATTCAGAAAGACAAAAAGATGATAAAATGGTACCACAGAAGACCTCTGCTTTATGGGACAAAGACTGGTAAATCTAGAATATCTGCAAGATATTTTTAGCAATCAGTCTTTGTGATTGAATCAAATATACTTTTAAAGTACATTTAGAATACTCCTGAATTCTACTAGTTAGATAAATTGGAAGGATATTCCAAGGATTAGGACTGTGCCTTGGCAGAGTTTAATTGCTTAAACATTATTTAACCATTTCACCCTCTCCCCCCGCACTCCACCTAGTTTACACTCAAGAGATACTAACCACTGTTTTTCAGAGATGGCCTAAGACTCTCAGCAATTATTCTCAACTGGTATTCCGCTTTTACTTCAGGCTTGAAGAAGTGTTTGTGCACTCAAAACCTTGTCTAAGTTCTCTAACTGTATCAGCTGGTCTAATAAAGAACATTTACTTCTATCTTTCTGTACAAAGTGGAAGGAACAATTTCACCTGAGTGAATTACAAAAGGTAATACACTATTTGTAATCATGATGAGGGAATGCCAAGACATTATGGATAGTGTTCAGTTTCCTTTAACATAGCACTGAACAAAACCAATCATCAAAAGTAAGTTTTGCAGAATACAAAACAGTCAGAGCAAATCAAACATGTTATATCATTTGTTCACACAAACTTATGTTTCATGTGAATTTGACTCCCTAACCCCCAAAAAAGAACCAAGTTAACTTAAAAGTATAAGGTTAGGGTTACAGAGGTGAATTTAAGTCTATACCGGCCAGGCAGCCATCCACCAGGCACAGACTGCAGAGAAACATTTGTTGCACAGAGGGCAACACCAAATGCTGCCTCATCCATCACCATCCTTCTGCTGAAGTCTCCAGATGAGAGCTGTTTGCCCAATTCATTCAGACCAATGTCAGCCCCCATGACCTGGCTTAGCTGTCTCAGTTATTCCTGCAGATTTAGAATTAAACAGGTCAAAAAAGGTTCACCTGAAGATCAGAAGATGCCACGGCTTTGAGCAGAGGGGTAGAGATGAGTTACAGAATGGCTTGGAGGCAGTAACATCTTCCTCGGGTGGCCTGACACAGCCGAATCCAAAAAAAAAATCTGTGTGTAGCCATTACAGCTCTATGAATTAAGCACTAAAAAGTACATTAATGACTTCTGAAGTCAGCTAGTGCAGCGCAGCCCCATTAACTGTTTAAGCTGATCTAAACCAGCACCTCACCTTCACCACAAAATTTCATTCCTGGTTCTCAATCTTCTCTTCTAAATCAATAACCTGTGAAGAATTTTTGCTGATCTAATTTTCTGAAAGATTAGCATCCTGAAACCATCTCATTCATGTATCAGTCAAGCATCGGAGCCAGTACAGGGACAGGCATAGGAATGAAAGAGCAGGAAGGCAGCACAAGCTTTAACAACTTTAAAGTACACCCTAAAACTGTCTCTCCCAATATGTTCCACAAGTAGCCAGACCTCAGAAAATCAACTGTAAACTGAAAGGAAAAAAAGAAAAACAAAGCATTTACCAAGAGCTGCTAAAAGGCAGTTCATACAGAATGACCTGGGCTGGAAGGTGCCTCTGGAGGTCTCTTGAAGCTTGAAGCAGGGCCAACTTGTAACTTAGGTCAGGTTGGTCAAGGCCTTGTCTAGACAAGCTTTGTGGAATTTCCATCAATGGAGACTGTCAACCTCTCTGGGCAAACTGCTCTACAATTTAACCACTTTTATTGTGTAAAAACACTGGTTTTGATGTCCAGCTACAGTTCTTCTTGCTGTAATTTACGACTGTGCCTCTTGTTTTTGCTGGGCACTTCTGAAGAGCCTGGCTCCATCTTTAGGTAGCTAAAAGTGGTGATTAGCTTCCCGCACCTTAGTCTGTTCTTCTTTACATTCAGAGAATCCAGTTCTCCATTTCTGGTCCCTACCAGTGGACTTCTGCTGGACTCTCTCCAGTTTGTGGATACACCTCTGCTACTGAAGGACCCAAACCAGGACCCATTATTCCAGATGTAGCTTCATATGCTGGGATTGTTAGAGACCCGAGGGAATTAGGGTCTTCAACAGGATCTGGATGTCTCTTCCCCCCTCCACACACATCACAGGATAGAAAATAGAAAGCCACAGCAAATAACTCCCAGTAGATACTCATTTTTAGCAGCAATTCTACTAGTGAGAGACTATTATCCCAGTTTTGGATTTATTTAAACACATCTTCTGAAAAGCAGACAAGAAAACTAGGTTTTACAACACAAAGATCACGAAATTTCTAAAGGCCTGAGTGTCCAGCATGACAAATCATGTGTAGTGTAGACTTAACAGCTATCACCCATCAACAACCAGTCAAATGTGTCACACCACACTGTGCTAGAACAGTAACAGCAGACTGTACAAAAGCACTCGCTGGGATTATAGTTTACCTGCTGAAGGCTTAAGACAGAAAACCAACACCTCTGCACCTACAGTTAAAAGATTGAAGGCTTAATGGAAACACTGTAACTGATAGTTTCAGCAACTTAAAGCTGTGCAGCCCATCCTGACAAACTGCAAGTCTCCAGAGATTTAGCGTTTGATAAGGTGAAGATCAGAGGATCTGGTGACTAGCCAACCTACCTGCTTGCCCTTACCTTTTTCAAAGAATACCTAGTCTTCACCACATTTAACCATTGAAATTAGCTCACTTGTCTGAAAAGGCATTCTCAGAAATCCTGCATCTTATATCTTTATAAAGAATGTGTACTGAACTGCCATGGCTGTAAACAAATATTACCAAGCACTGAGACCAAGACTGTGGGCAAGAAGTGATGCACAGAAAAACTTTCAAGTTCAAGTGTTTTGAGCAGAACTTCTAAAGAGCCAGACAAAATACCAGAATGGTCTACAGGAATCAGCTTGCTAACTTGCAAGGAACAGAAGGTGAGCCTTTGAATAAAGAGACCGTCAGCATGAAGGCCTAAATATTTGATACTTGGAATATACACCAAGATGCAACCAAAAATGTTGGAGAAAGCTTTACAACATGTTAAGCTAAATACCCTACAGGAATTAACCTATTTACATAGAGGAGTATCTAGCTTATTTTTCCTGTTACTGTTGTATATACATCCATTATATCTGACCTTGGAATCAAATCAAATCTTTCAGTGCCCCTTGGTTTTCAGCATCTATAATCATTTAGTTGCATCTCTGCACTCCTTTCACCTAAATCAGGGCAGCCAAAATGAACTCCACCATTGTGGATGAGACCAGTTGAATTTACAGAATTAAGAAACAATTTTCTGATGTTAAAAAGGTTCGTTTTGATTTTAAAAGATACAATACACTCCAGCCAACTTTACTTATTAAATGTTGCCTTGATTATGCAATGTTACAGTACCATATTCTGTACTTACTCTTTACAATAAATGTTTACCATTTATACTTGTACTTGATTTTCAAACTTAAACCAACTTCCACGTTATCAAGTATCACTTTGCACTCCATGATCTTTCTTAACCACCAAGCACGGCTTGTTCCAGCCTTCCAAAAAAGTGCTAATGACCCCCAGGAAGCTGTTTTCTGTTAGCGACTGCTCTAGCACACTCACAAAACTTTAGATGAAGTCTGAAAAGCGATTGTTTAAAAACATACTTTCATTAAAGTCAGCATTTCACAGATGCATGAAATGACAAAAAAAAAAATCTGTCCTCCAGGTCCCCATTTATCCAAGTGTGAATTCTTTAGTGTGGTAGAATACTTCACATTTGTACAGACTTTTTTTAATGGGAAAAATGGATAAGCTTGGAGTTCCAGGTTAAACTATGGGAATTAGACATCCGGCCCCCACATCTGGATTTGAGCACTTCCAGCTTGTTCCGCTGCCCTCCAGTTCAGTCAGTGTTAGACCAAATTCCTACTCTTTTATGATCTAAGTACATTAAGGAAGTGGGCCAGAAAAAGTTTAACAGCAAAGCTTTTGGAGACTATACTTTAGCATTCACCAGTGAAAGTTAAAATACTTCACTCTCTCGCCTTGTGCTGTGCATGAGTCTCTATTACATGATGATCTCCAGCTGCTCTGAGTATCTAACTAAATTTTCATGGCATTTTCATTGATTTCATTGATCAATTTTCATTGATCATTATCATTGATCAATACTCCTCATGAAATATAAGCAAAATAAACACTTAATACCAATACATTTTGTTACATGTTTAATTTCTTAGATTCAGTACATCGCACAAGATGGTCCAAAAAGAAAAGCCAGAGCATCTTAATGTTTTTACATTTCAGAACACCAGAATATTGGTAAAATTCAATTCTTAGCTTTCTCTTTCTTTTTAGATATACCAGCTCATTGTCTCATTTGCATTGCGCTGCATTATTTCTTGGCCACAAACATGTGTTTACCCGTGAAAATCTAGTGTCAGTCTTAGTTATGTGTCTTGTGAAATTCCAAACACTCAAGCCACAAAATAAACAAAGCTAAGGAAAAACCAAAACCTCAGCTATTGTCTAAGCTCATATTGTGTCATGATCCAGCCCAGAATTATGCAAATACAGATAAAATGTGTATGGTAAAACTGAGTCAGAGTTTACTCAGCCTCTTAGGTAGACTTTTAAAGAGCTTGTAAAATGTATAATTTCTTAGTATCAGCCTATACAGTCAAATCTTACTAATCCTCATTTGGTTAATTCACCAACCAAACAATTCAAATCTTTTGATGCACAGCTTCTACTATTAACTTCTCATTATTTTAACAAAATACACCATGATACTTAAGTTTTGTTATTAAAGTACAAATTTAGATAGCTGAAATTTGTACTGAAAAGTACAAATTGAGATAGCTTAATACAACTAAATTTGACAGCAATCTTTTCAAAAGAAAGAGGTCAGATCATGTCCCCTATAAATAAAACAATCTGCAAGACAATTAAATAAGACAACTTCTGCAGGACCTACTATATTTTCTCCATCTATCTTATTTCACAATAAGAAATTTGTGAACAAATATGGATTACCATATCTTATTATTGTGAATTATGTACTTACTTCAAAAGTATACTTATTATTCTATTTTTCAGTGATGGCAAAGAAGACATTTTCTCCATTAGCAATTTTTCAGGCAATGACTTCAGTCAAGTCTACATTTAGCTACATCGTCTCTTTTAGATGTTTCGGAAGTTCAAGTTTACAAAGGACTCCATCCAACAGCATTACTCCAAATCTACAGGAACAAGAAACTGGCAAGAGAATTAAGCTGCCAAATGCAGAATTACAGCCAGACTATGCAATTTTTTAAATCAAGGAAGCAGAAGAAAAATAGTCATTATGGTAAGAAAGCTCTTTTTACCCTTTGTTAGGCATGTGTGAGCACTGACATGAATCTACCCGAAAGAGTCCTTAATAAGGGGGGGAGGAGGGAAGGGGAGATAAAGATAATGGAAAAATAGGGTTTTCAAAAAGTATACTTTGATTAGTTGTTTTGATTGCAATGGCTCTCTAGGTATAGCTGCACATTTCTATGAGCTATGTTTTGACAAAGATGTCTTTTCAAGTTCATGCAGATCTGGAGTGAAAAACATTTCTCTGCCACAAGCTGAAGTAGGCATTAATTTACTTCACTGTCAAGCAAATGAGTAGCTTTAAGCTACTTTACACTGAGTCCCAGAAATTAAATGTCACTCTTCTGAAGCATACAGGATATGATTAACTAAGTACTGTATTGCTGTTCCATTTTATTTTAGTAAAAATGGCAAACGCAAAGCCACTGTTGGTAAGAAAACACAAATTGCTCTGCATAATAAGTGATCAGCAGTGTTACTGTATATTTGATAGTCATTCATCTGTTTAAGTGGGTATACATTTGTGCAACAACTGGTTTCGGAGTGCACTTTGTTAAGAAATCCAGTCTGCTACATCAAGATCAAGCGCATTTACCTAGAAAGTAGACCAAAAGAAACAGGTTTCCACTCCCCGCTGACTTCAAATGAAAAATACACACAACAGAAGTACCACTTCCATGAAGGCAGTGAGACCCATATTAACAGAACCAATTAGCATCAGATGAAAAAGCCGAGAAGAAAGCTAACACCTAGCCCCAAGAAGCAACCAGCTGGCAGCCCCCCACTTCCTCTGAGAGGGTAAGAGACACAGCAGCGAGTGAATCCAGCCAGCCAGCCGAGCCGTTTCCAAGAAGCGGGCTCCTCTTCTCTCCGAAAGCCTAACCGCTCCTCACCTCATCTCCCCCACAGCGATACCTCCCCGTGCTCCTTTCTGCGTGCACCACTGCCTCTTCCCAAGCATCCCCCACTGCCTCTTCCGAAGCATCCCCCGGCAGGCTTGCGGCCTGGCAGGCGCGGGATGGCTCGCTCGCTCTCAGGAACGAGCTCCTGAGCCACAGCGGGCACCTCCGGCTGATGCCCGCTAACGCACAGACCCCGCTCCGCCGTGCCCCGGCGCAGTCTGAAGGACAAACGATGCCAAGCGGTGTTGTGCGGTGGCTTGTTTTTCTGTAAGGACGTTTCTCCTGCTGGCGAAACGTTTATGGCAGCCAAAGACCTCAGCCACCTTCAAACCGCTCTCTGGCGAATAACTGAAAGCTGGTCGTTAAAAACCAAAGCCCTGCAAGGCTTCAGGGTGAAGTATCATTAAGCTGCTTCCCGAGTCGGGGACCCCTCACCTCCGGCCTCGCTGAGAAA